CAACATCATCGCAAACATCATCACAATCACAGTCTCCATCATCATCATCACCATCTTTTTCATCATCATCTTCATCAACATCGTCATCACTACCAGAGCCATACAAACCAACGGTGTTAAACGGTTTAGTAAGACTGATGATGATGGTGATATATAGTTACTACGGATGTACCTAACTCAGCCTAAGCCGAATTTTGCTGAATTTAAAATCACAAATTCACACCAAAGATCTCCAGGAATAATTATTTGATATCCGGTTATGAATTATTTACTCGGTGCTAACTAAAATGCTGACAATGCATTGATGTTACAAAATTTATTAAAATTTTTTTTTAAGTGGCGTTTAATTTTGCTGAAGTTTAGGAGGAAATTATTGAAATAAATTAAATTCGACGAAAATTCTGCCAAAGTCAAGTTTTGGCCAAAGCCAGCAGTCGAAATTTGGTAGAGCTCTGATAATTACAACTCATACACTGTGCCTGGGACATCTATCTATTATTGTATCTAACAATTATTTCGGCTTCCGTTTCAAGTCCTTCATCATCATCACCAACATCTTTATCGTCGTCGTCGTCATCACTGTCATCATTATCATCATTTAATTACTATCATCATAACCATCTGGGTTGTTATCATTATTGTTATTATTATTATTATTGTTACTCTTTTCTGGTCCGTCATCGTCGTCCTCTTTGTCATCACAATCGTTTCATCATCAAAACTACTATTTTTTACCTCTACCATAATCATTATCACATTTATAATCATAACTAAACCTCTTATCATCACCATGTTAACCATCGAATCATCATCATCGTCATCATCGTCATCATCATTACTACAACCGTCGTCCTCTTCATCATCAGTCAATACAATTTCAAACATTTACATGAACATAATTAACATAAACAAGTTATTTAATGAATAAGCAGCTATCATCAACCGACATCATTGTATTAATTATCAACACCAATTTGTTAATTATAGCCATTATATACTTACTAATTATAATATTTGCGCTATATAAATGTTCAAATTGTTCTTTTTCTTCTTCTTCTTCTTCTTTTTCTTTTTCTTCTTCTTCTTCTTCTTTTTCTTTTTTTTCTTCTTGTTATAATTCAATGAGGATAATAGCTATATAATTTGTTGCTATTTTTATGCTTGTTGTGACATCGTTATGACATCATCATTATGACATCATCAACACTAGCATATCACGGGTAATTCATCATCTTTTGTACTCATTGCGTAAAATTCGTAATCATCGTCATCATTTGTGAGAGCATCAATATTAACATCACAATCATCATTATCGTCGTCATCATCTTATCATCATCATCATCATCATCGCATCTCCATCATCATCAAGACGAGGCCAGTAAAATACTATAGGATCACGTTTCAACCATTTTCGAGTTTTTTTTTGTTTTTGTTTTGCCTGCCTGGCTGGCAAAAAACAATTCAATAGTGCAAACAATATCTATACAATTATGTTTATATACAAACACACACACACACAAACACATATACCTACACACGCATTCACAGATAAACAAAGGTTGTTTATTTTTGCTTGATTTTGTTAAATGTGTAAATATATATAACATTCTTTATGTGCAACAGTGCTCATGCACGTTGTTGTTTGTTTGTTGGTTGTATATTGTTGTTTGTTGGTTGTATATTGTTGTTTGTTATTATGTAAGTTTGTAAAATGTTTTGTTGTTCTATTTTGTTTCTGCCATTCATTCGAAATATAATTCACTCTTTTCAAAGATAACCGGCCTTTCTGGATGCATATTAGCAGGCGAGAATATTAATGCCATAATGTTTGTGTTTAATGAAACTCATTTTATTCATCACTGATTTAATTTATTTAATTAATTTATTAATATTTAAAAATTTAAAGAACAAAAACACAAGCAACCTCAAAAATTCGCTGTAGAAAGAAGAGACAAAAACGAACGCTGAGAGATTTTTTTTTTCTTGATGATCAACGTTGGTCAGTTTTATTCATTCATTCGTTCAATCATTTATTTATTCATTCGTTCGTTCTTCGTTCGTTCAATCCTTCATTTATTTTTCATTCATTCGTTTGTTTGTTTGTTCGTTCAATCAATTCCTTCGTTCAATTGTCTTTTCTAATTTTTGCATTTTTTGTTTGTTTTTTTTGTTTATGTGATATTTGTTTGATTGTTTTTTTTAGTTTTGCATTTTTTTCGGATTTCAAAAATTTTAAAATAAAACGAATGCCTGGGAGGGCTGGATCTACATTGCTACGTTGCGCACAATAAGCACGCACTCACACGCACGCACACGCACACACACACACACACACATAGCAGACACGTGCAAGCATACTCGCATAACCGCATATGTATATATTTTATGTACATTCGAAACACACACACACACACACACACACATATATATATATATATATGTATATATACACATACCTACAAAGTGTTTATAGTAGGTAGGAAACACAGGCATGCAAACAAGCTTGTGAGCATATGAAAACATGAAAAGCATTGTGAAAAACACATGAGATGAACACGCACACATGATTGCATCAGTACATGATGCGAAATATATCAATCTGTATTTTTTCTAGTTAGACATCTCCAGTTTTTTGTTTTAATTAAATGTGTACCTGCCAGTTTTAATAATATTTTTAATTATTTGTGAGTAATTAAGGAAATGTGCGTGTATTTGTGAATGTTCTGTGGTTGTATATGTGTGTGTGTGTCTGTGCGTACGAGTGTGTTTGTGTCTGTGAATGTGCGTGTGTGTGCTTGTGTAGAAAATTTCAGAGCAATAATTTATTCGCAGGTCTTTTTCAGCGGTGAGTTATTTCGATAAGTAAGCTTGTTTGATGGTTAAAAATGCAAACGTTAAATTGCCGGAAGATCTATCAACCAAAATGTTTCTTAGTTGCTTTTACGTTGTTCGTTTGTATCTTTTGTATTGTTTACTGTATTGTATGTTGTCTTGTATGTTGTATTTTTGTGTAGTGTTTGTATGTTGTATTTTTGTGTAGTGTATTGGAAGTTGTATGATGTTTTATATTTACCGCATGTTGCATTGGTTGCTGTAATTATTTTTGTATTGTATGCGTATTTTGTAGGATGAATTGTATTGTATCGCATGTTGTAATTTATGTTTTATTTTATGTTATATTGTTTGTTTATATTTGTTGTATTGTGAATTTTATTGTATGATGTTTTGTTTTCTGTATATTTCAATTGAAAATTCATATGTTTGTAATTGTATAGTGTTTCTATCTGAATAGGTGATAAAATTTTATAAAAATACGTCTCGTTAAACAAGTAGTATATGTTTGTGCCTATGTTTACTCTTTACTGTTTTTGTTTATAATTATGATCGAATTTCTATGGATAGACATTGCTTTGTAAATAATTTTGTAATTTTACTGATTTGTCAAAACATGATTTGAAAAAAATTAATAGTGTCAACGAGTTTAGTTGTGAATATCGGACTCATCTTCTGTGTAAACATCGACCAACCAATTAACATTAATCTATTTATAGCGGCTCTTTTAGCTCTTTTAGATATGGATTTGTGTGTGCGTTCAAAGTATTTAAAATGTATGCGTGTGCGTGCGTATGTGTGTGTGTTTGTGTTGGTGTTTGTATGAGTGTATGTTCTGTTATTGGGCCAATTTTATATACTTGTATTTTCCTGTGTTTGTGGATGTAGGTGTGAAAATTGTTTATGAAAGAGATTGAGTGAATGTATGTGTGTGCGTATATATGTGCGTGTGCGTGTTTTCATGTTTGAATGTGCGTACACACACATACACACACACGCACACACACACAAATGTGTGATGTTATGCAACGCTTACGTGTAGTGTTGCTGATCTCTGGGAAGGTAGTTGTTAGGTTGTCGTCGTCGTTTATTGTTGTTGTTGATGCGATGTTGTTGTTGGAATTTTAGTTGATATTGTGATATTGTTGCTATGCAGGTTGTATTATATTATGTTGTTGTTGAATTGATGTGGTTGGTTTTTGTTGAATTGTATAAAGCTGTTGTCGGGTTAGTATATTTTTACATGGATGTTGTTGCTTTTTTAGTTTTTCTATATTTTGGTTGTTTTAATGCCAGATTTATGCGTTGGTTTTGCTTGAAAATTGTTTTAATTTTGCAGTTATGATTTTGCTGTGTGAATTTTCTATTGCATTGTGATACATTTTAAATAGGATTTTGATTGTTATATGTTTTCAAATGTAAAAATAACTTGCTGTTAATTTGCTGTTCTCTGTTTAATTTCAAAAAATTTCTATTATGATTTTTTAAAATAATTTTTTACTGGCCGTATTTTGTTTCGAGTTATTATTTGTCAAGCTTAAAACTGCAGATAGAAACTATTTTTAAATAATTTCCATATTACTTTTTTCATACAAAAAGACATCTACACAAATTCACGCATACTCCTACATACAAACAGATACTCATCCAAACGTATTCACACAGACATACACATATACGTATTCCCACATACATGCACGCATACACACACACACGCACACACACGTACATGTTCAAACATGCATATATATCCATACGAACGAATATCCGTTGCAGTAACGTTGAACGGACTTAGAAAATTACTTTTTTATGTTGCATCTCTTTTCCTCTGTCTTCTTTTTATTTCTTTTTTTATTCACTCTCTCTCTCTCTTATTTCTCGTTTTCTCTTTTTCTCCATTTCTTCTATCTTTTTCTTGTTCTTCCTCTTTTTTGTTTTTCTCTCTCTTATTTTTTTTCTCACAATATCTTTCTTTCCTTTAATTTTTCTTGTTTCTGCTTTCACATTCATTCCTCCACAATTTTAAAATTTTCATTGCGTTCTTTTTTTTTCAATCCATCTGAAAACGTCATCGCAAACGTCATCGTCGTCGTCCTCATCCTCGTCGTGAGTGTCTTCAGCACACTCCTGGTCCTCTTTCGCATCATCTTTTTATCTTAAAAATATGTATGTTTATTCATTTGGTGTATATTGTATGTATGTTTGTTTGTATGTATGAATGTTTGTTTGTCTGTATGAATGTTTGTTTGTTTGTCTGTATGAATGTTTGTTTGTTTGTCTGTATGAATGTTTGTTTGTTTGTCTGTATGAATGTTTGTTTGTTTGTCTGTATGAATGTTTGTTTGTTTGTCTTTCATGTGCGTGTGTGTATGATTGTCATTGCTTGGTGTGTTTGATTGTTTGATGTCATATATGTGAGTTGTATGTGTGCAAGTTGACGTTTAGAAGCAGACACATTTTTGATAGTTAATAAACAAGATATATTTATCTAAATTCTCAGACACACAGAAACACCCACACCAATAGACGCACATACAAAAACATGAACACACATACACACAAACGCACACGCACTTGGGAGTTCAAATTGTTCTCTTTTCACTTACCAAATTTCTTTAAGTTCATATTTTCTGTAAGGATGAACGTATTTTATAAGCCTACCAGACTGCAAGAATTTGTATACTTTAATGATACTAATGATATAATATTCCAAGTTTTTTAATTACTATTATGTTCACACACACACACACACACCACACACACATACACACACACCACACACACATACATACACATACACACAATACATACATACATACACAGACACACATACATACTTACCTACATGCATACAAACATACATACATACAAACAAACAAACATACATGCATACATATATACATACATACATACATACATACATACATACATACATACATACATACATACATACATGCATGCATACATACATAGATACATGCAGACCTACGACTTGTGATAGTTTATTGTGAAACATGATTGCACTGCTCCTGCTCCAGCATTCATAGCCATGTTGATATTAATT